TCTTTGATGCCAATAGACGACATGTAGGAGGATAGGATTGCTCATACTCGAACCGGGCATACACTGCAGCACCAAATGCACTTGTTGAGGCGTCAACGAAGGTGATCAACTTGAAGGATGTAATTGTTAATGCAAGTCTAATACAACGGGGAATCTTCACTTCTGCTAAAACGGATAACTGATTAAGCCAAGACTGAATTTGGTTTGCTATGTCGTCATGTATTTCATCATCCCAATCATACCCTCGGCTCCACAACGATTGAAGCAACATCTTTCCTTTTATGATCGCCGGCGAAATCAGACCGAGAGGGTCAAAGATTGTAGCTATCTTCTTTAGGACGTTACGTTTTGTTACTGACACGAATGCCGTCATTGATGGTGCTGGAACGGAAAGGGTGTCTTCTTTGCTGAACCACGAAATACCTAACGTTTTAGTCACTGGTTGTTCTGCGTCTCGAATCACCAGTTCAGATGCTCGATGCTCTTCTGGAATAGCTGCCAGAACTTGCTTTGAATTAGAGACCCATTTCCTGGCTTCCATACCAGCATTCTTCCATAGCTCTTGCAGTTCCTTTTGAATAGTCTCGGCTTTGGCTTCGTCCTCGACGCTATCGATACTATCGTCCATGTATGTAGACTTCAGAACTGTTTCAGCTGCTAGTGGATAACGATCTTGAAAACGACGAGCATTTTCTTGGGCGACATATTGCGCTTCCATAGGCGCCGAATTTTTCCCAAATACGACTCGTGTAAATTCATACTCATCAGGCTCCCGGTCGCTCTCGTAATCTCGCCACAAGATTCTAAAGTACGGACGATCTTTTTCTTCTATCTCGATTTGTAAATACATCTCTTTTATGTCGCAGGCAATTCCAATTGGATTTCGCCGAAAACGTACAAGGACATCGAACAGTTCGGTTTGTAACTTGGGACCTGCAGAGATTGCATCGTTCAGCGACACGCCTTCGTACTTTGCCGAGCAATCGAACACTATGCGCACTTTAGTTGTTGTTTTGTTTAACTTGACTATCGGAAAATGTGGCAGATACCAAGACGATGGAGACGACATTTCTTCGGGAGTCAACTTTCGTAAATAACCTTTTTCAATGTACGATTTTATTGTTTCTTCGTATTCTTTCCTAACAAAGTTACCTTTGGTGTTCAAACTTCTTTCGGTGCCTTCCAGACGTTTCACTGCCATTTCCCGATTGGTTGGAAGAGTCGGGAAGTCCTCTTTCCACGGGACAGCTATAGAATAGCGGGTCCCATTGTGCGTTAATGACGACTCCACTTTTTCAAATGCATTCTTCTCTTCCTTGGTCATTACCGCTGATCGTTTGGTTTCGGTTCCATAACTTTCAATTTCCCAAAACTTTCTCAATGTGTTATTTACATCACAACAATTAACATTTGTTTGGTCGCCGTGAGCATCTCTTGTTAAAAAGGAATGCATGATAAGATGAGACCTCTTACCATCCAGTTTTCCGGTCGGTCCAATGCAGGTCCATCCAAGAGGACCCAGGCGAGCGATTGGGCTATTTGGTGGTCCATGCACGTCCACCTTCGAATAATGCAGATCAGCATTGTCCACTCCGATTAGCAAGTCCACTAGGCCATTTTGCGCCGGCCTTGCAAATTCACATTGTAAGAGATGAGGCCATTGCGTCTTCGTTTCATTCCAGTCTTCAACTTTATAAGTTCCAGTAACTTGATGGGGACAAGTTTTTACCTCGATAACTTTGCCAAAATCACCATTGACACTTTCAATTTCAATCTTTGCAGGCATGGACTGAAATGTTTCCACAGAATTGTTCAAAACGTGAACTTGAACAGACTGAAACGCTTCTTGAATACCTAGTAGGTTAGCCACATGTTCGTTTACGAACGACTCGTTCGACGCGTCATGTAGTATGGCGTTGACCTTGACCTTCTTTCCATTGTTTTTCAACCATACAGGAACTGTCCGTAATGAACACTGCTCTCTGGAGGATGAGTGGCTTTGTGTCATCATTGCCACTTTGTTACTCGGGCCTGCCCCCTCCCGTGAAGCTGCCCCCTCCCATGACGACTCTGAGGGGGGGGGGGAGGTGGTATGGGTGATGGTGGAGTGACAGGTTGGCGATGTAGCAAACGGTGATGATTGAGCTGGCATCCATTCACTTTGCACGGCTGCGATCTTCGACAATCTTTACCCCAATGATCGTTACTCAAACAGCGAAAACACAGCTGTTTCTCTTTGGCAAAGTTCCATCGTTGTTCCACCGATGTTTGTTCAAACTGTCGACAAGCCCAAATACCATGATACGGCCCGCTACAGAAGGCACAAGGAGGCTTTTGTTTTGGGCTTTTGTCTTCGTTAAACGCTGAATTTCGTTGATTGTTCGAAGCCATGAAAAAGGAACTTGGATTGCGCCTTCCACCTTTCGTTGGATATTGCTTTCGATTATATCGCGCAGAATCTTCGGATTCTATCCCATGGGCCATCTCAATTGCTTCAACTCTAATTGAGATTTCTTCCTTTAACCAGTCTCGTAGACTTAAAACCGATCTGTCTTTACTGTGCTCATTCATCCATCGTGTGTAAATTTCTAACTGGTGTCCTGTCAACTTCTTGACCAACAAACTGTACAGCGTTCCATCACCAAGTTCTCCTACTTTCCCTTCTGCCTGCAACTTAACAACCGTCACTCTTACTAGATCTGCGAACCTTTCGAAACTTTGAACATCAGCTGCTCGTAAGGGGTGCATTCTTTCTAAATCATCCAGGTAGGCACGAAGCTGCCTCCTCTGACCTCCAAATTTTGTATTTAAAATCTCCTTGGCCTCCTTATACTCAGGCCCTGACACACCAAGTCCACGGATTGAGTCCAGGGCTATTCCAGTTAAGCTTTGGCGGAGTCTTGCCATCTATAAGCTAGTTGGTTCGTTCGACATATCTACTAGGCTTACGAACAGTCCCCAAAACTCTTCAAACTTTTTCTTGTCTCCGTCAAAGGTTGGCACCCTCAATGGCTTCAGCCGATGGTTAATAACAGTTTCTCCATGTCCACTACTTGTCGTTGTAACATCATGCTGCGGACTAGGGTACCCCGTTGAGGTGGAACTACTGTTCTCGGCAACCGGTTGTTGTAGGTGATCATTACCCCCTAATGTTGCAGGAGCCACTGCCTGGGGCCCCTAGTTTGTGACGTCATCAGCTATGTCGAGTTCACCTTCATCCCCAGTTACGGAAGTGGAAACCCCTTGATTATCTGTGACTTCGGTTTCTGCTTCACCCCCTGTGTTTGGGGCAGTTTTCTGTATGGGTGGACTCAGCACACAGCTTTCTGATGCACATTTAACAATAACAGCCTGCATCTTTTCAATGACCTTCTGACATTCCCCTCTAACTCATTCGACTCTTGCATCACAAGCTTATGACTTTCGAAATCTTTCTGTTCCATGAAATATGCAGACATTTCATCCATGATAACTTGTGTATCTTCCAGTATTTGCCACAGTGTCTCTACACGATGTTCCAGTTCCTGTATATCAACCTCCGCCTTTTCAACGATTAACTTCTCAAGATGATGCCTTGCTTTTGTTGTGCTACGTTTACTGGCTCGTTTACGTCGGTTTAACTCGATTAGAACTAGCTTTTGTTTAACTTCCTCATCCGCTTTAGGCTCCTCTGGTGTTTCACTAGGACCCAGTTCTGTGTCCGACATGATAGCAACACTTAAGTTTCAGATACCAACAAATTATGCCAATAATACTAGATATTTTTTCTCCAAGCTCAAAATGTACAAAAAGGGTAAACAACACTTCACTACTGTCCAAATATAGATCAACAATTCCAGTAAAAAACTAGCGAACACAAGTTCCCGCACGCTGAACGTTTGTATAAAATCCGATGTAACTAACAATATTCTTCCATTAATAAAGAACCCACACTAGCAAATTCAATTCATTAGTTTATTCCATATTCGTTAATTTATTCGATATTCGTTAATTTATTCGATATTTCAAATTTTCAAAACACGCATAAATTACTCGCAATGTCTCCGATATTTTTCGATCTTTTACGATATTTATCACGAATTAAAACCCACACGCAACCGTATACAACAATTCAAGATTCTCTTACGTCCCAACCATCGACAATTCCTCACACTTTTGCGAATTAAATCCAACAACGATACGAATACTTCTTGCAAATGCCGCCTGTCAATATTTTTCCAATACTACGAACGAAAGATCACGATTATATCATTATAAAACTCCAAAATGTCCTGGCAGAATCGCCAAAAATATGTTCTCAAGACTCGAAACTCTTTTTATAAACTTTAATTTAACAAAAATAAACGAAAAGAACAATAATAAAAGTAATATTTCCCTCATAAAATCTCACGAACAACGTTTTTCGAACGTCCTTAAAACCCGTTGCCTAGCAACCCCTCATTGGACATAAGTTGCCGAAGTTTACTGTTTCGAAATGTCAACCATAAAATGTCAACTACGAATTAACTACAAAATACAGTTATCTTAACAACATGTATATCGAAAAAGTTCTCACACGGACAAATATTTGTTATATAATTCACATAACCATGTGAATGACAAGAAAGCTGTAGTAAAAACATTATTAGATCGCGCAAGAACTATCCCAACGAATTCCGTATTGCAAGCCCAAGAGACTGAAAATGTGATTGAAACATTAAAATTAAATGGCTATCAAAAGCGTTTCATTGAGAAAGTTGTTGCGAACAACCATCAGACTAACACAAATGCTGGGTATGAAATTCGTGGATCGACATGCCTTCCTTATGTTAACGGAGTTTCAGAAAAAGTAAAAAGTATTTTAACCAATGCAGGAGTTCGGGTCGCGTTAAAACCAATACTAACTTTAGGGAATATTTTTCGCAAGCCCAAAGCAAGACCGTCAGAAGACAGAACAAAAGCTATTGTATACAAATACAAATGCAGAGAATGTCCATTTACATATATCGGTGAATCAAAGAGATGTTGGGCGACAAGGTGGTTAGAACACAAACCGGGAGTTAGAAAGAGAATTTTTTCGACAATATATATATATATATATATATATATATATATATATATATATATATATATATATATATATATATATATATATATATATATATATATATATATATATATATATATATGGGTTTCGTGTGTGTGTGTATACAGCTAATTCAATAAAGGTTGTCCTTTGCAAACCTCAAACTATAAAACCTTAAACCTTAAACTCTAAGCGCGCAAAGCGTAATGGGAGCACTATTTAAGCAGTTTAGAAAGCATACATGGAGCCCATTTCTTATATTCAACTACAAAGCTTGAAATTAGTACTCCCATTATGCTTTGCGCTTTATATATATATATATGATTAGTGATTGAGGAAGGACTCTATCATTGATCAGCAGGAACGTGAATGTTTTGGCACACTCAGTGAGTTTGAGTAAGCTTTTAGAATTTAGGCAACTTGATTTCTGTTACCATAATCTTGTGCGTTTAATTATTATGAAGCAGAGTAACACATGGGTTGGGTAAACATTATTTTGACCAATGTTGAGGTTGGGTAAATGTTGAGGTTTACAGTGTTTTTCGCTTCTCTTCGGTACCAACCTCAGCAATAAATAATGACCAGTCCCCTAGTTGTGTCAGTTGATATAGCTAATGCCAAAATTCCCTGAAGCTTTTTAGTAGTCGGCAAAGTCGGCTCAAAAATTACAATTTAAATCTAAAATTTCTTGTTTTCATTATCAATTAATTGCATTAACATTTGAGAATACCTCAACAGGGGTATTTAGTGGTCTATAAACGAATTAATTTTTGAGAATACCTCAACCCCCTATTTGGTGGTCTATAAACGCACAAAATAATGAAGGACTGACTGTTAGCTTGCCTAATTTCTAAACAAGCAGCTTCTATAGGTTATTTGGAATTAAGTCTAGATGTTTTGACAATTTACGTGACACCTTACGTAAATGCAAACTCCCGTCTTCCCCTCCATTTCTTGTTCGATCAACACGCAGTAGGCTATATCATAACCATCTATACTGACAAGCTCATCAGAAATGGTAGAGCTAGTTGAGGCGGGTTTCGTTGAGTGCCAAGACATCAAGTTTTTTATATATGAACGGAATGACCAACGTTATTGCCACTTTGTTAATGACATTTTGTTGCCCCTTGTTTCTTTCATGCATGTTTATTTCATGCATACATGCACACGCCTTTTTGAGGTTCGCAACGCCATCGATGTTGCCAAGTGCATGCATGAGGCAAAGACAGTGGTAAAATCATTGCCACTACGTCCAATCACAGTTAATAGAATACATGGCTTGGACACTCGATGAAAGTACAATATAACTCATTAACTATGTTGGTTTCGGTTTATGCAAGAATTTGGGTCGATCTCGTCAGTGTCGTCACGTGTGTATTGTATTTTTCCCGCACAACCAATATTGCACTGTTTAAATTGAGCATTTGTTCAAGTTACGGATGGATAACTCAATCACAAACTTGTTATTGGTTATTTGAGCGAAAATACAATACACACGTGACGAGATAGGCCCAAATTCTTGCATAAAGCTGGACAATAACATAATTAATGAGTTATATTGTACTTTCATCGAGTCTCCAAACCATCTATTAAAATAACTATGGTCCAATTGGGATATACTTATCATGGTATTGTTAATTAAGCTGATTTACCTAGCTATCAAAGTTTCTGTGATAACAGTAGGAATTTTGCATGGGTAAATTCTAAGTTTGAATGATTCGTAAGAAATTTTTCAGGAAAATGGCTCATTGACATTTTTTAACACTGATTCAGTTCCCTCAAACATTTCTTACAAATCCTTCAAAACTTAAGCGATACAAAATTCCTACTGTGTCTGTGATCACAGAAACGTAGATAGTGTAAACCAGCCTTTACTCTACTGTGTTTTCTCCACTTGGCAATACTCGACAAACTAAGCCACTTATAATACTGGTGTCGGGGTATGCTACGTCAATGGATCGGAACAGAATGAGCGTTTCTATTTTCTATAGCAACAGACCAGGGCGCTCATGTGCTACATGAGAGTCGTCAGTAAAAGCAGGATAAAAGTATTGATTTATCGCGCGCGTCTCCTCGCTTTTCACATTTTTCTGTAATTATACAATTTTTTTTGTTCAAATTCACGGTTCCGACATGGCATCGTATAAGGAGAAAACCGCTAGTATGAAGGCGAGATTGTCTGCGGAGGCGGATAAACGCAAGAGACTTAAACATTCCGAAGGTGATTGCTAGATAGTATACTTCAAAATAAGGTTTCCGTTTTTAAAACGTAGAAAAAACTATCCTAACGCAAAACTAAACCCTAACCCTAATACTAAACCTAACCCTAACCTAACCCTAACCTTAACTTATTTTAAAAATAGAATAAAAACGGAAATCTTATTTTGAAGTATACTATCTAGCAATTGCCGAAGATTACACGAGGAAATTCACTGACCTAAATAGATTAACTGGATAACGCTGCTCATTGTTCATTTGTGCGGAAAATGAAGCAGCAAACAATGTTTTACCCCGCTGGAAGAATTTTTAAAAAGATCATTTGATCTAGAAGTTAAACACTCCGGGTCAATATAATTTCAATATAAGTTCTGATTTATTTTGTTGGAAAAACGTGATTATACATTCTATACACAGTTCACTGTTCAGTTCATTTTTATTTTCTATACAAACAACTTTCTTTGGTATAACGCCGAGTGAGGAAAATATCCCTTTGCGAGGTACTTATTGTTTTCCCTCGATTTTATTAACAGGTCAAAAAGGTTGGTTTCAGGGACATCATTGCTGCTTCATTCTCGGACATGACTCGCCTAGGAGACAAATTCTGTGAAGCACTACTAAAAGAGGCAGGAGAAAATTTCGGCAAATTTTACGCCTTCAGTGAATTGGTTGAATCAATCGGCAAAGATGGTGTTCCGCCATGCAATTCAAATCTGGGAATCCGCCATGCAATTATTGAAGTTGATCTCGTCAGGCAATTTTTTCAAGGTAATTTTGCCTCGTTTTAAAATATGTTGTTTTAAATAGTAGGCGGCTACAAACAAAGTTTAAATCGTAGGCGGCTCCAAACAAAGTTTGAAGTTGTATATGTATTTGTGGTTTCAACCTGTCTGTTCAAAAGAGAAACTATTGGAAACAAAAACTGAAACTTTACTGTATTTCAACATTGTACCTTAACAAAGTTACAACAATTTCAAAAAATGTAATTCCTATATAGGTAATTGACATATACATTTACGTAGTTCATATAGATTTTCCGTAAATGTTCAAGAGTCAAAGTTCTAATAATACAGTACCACCTTTGGCTGTCATGTTTGCTGGAAAATATATGGGATGTCTAAACGAAAACATGCAAGTTTTCTCATACTGTTGTGAGAGCAGGGCTGCAAATAATCATTTTACTTGGAAGGACAAATGTCTGGCCAAGCCAAAAATTGGTCGGACATTTATCAATTTTTCCAGGACAATGGACAAAGTAAAATTTTTCTTTTTTAATTTCTACCAGTTACACAACAAAGGTGATGTAGATTTATAATTAAATCTTACGGTTTAACCTTAATTAATAGAAATAGTGAAGAAGTGCTGTCTATATTGCTTTCTTGTTGGTTTTATTAATAAAAATTGGAGATTTGACCAGCCTAAATCGGTCGGTCACATGTCCGATCATAAAAAGCTTTGATCGGACAAAAGGTAAATTTTGGTCGGACAATGTCCGATGACCGGCACTAATTTGCAGGCCCGTGACAGTGTATTTCGAGAACCATGCAGTGTTCTAAGTACATATCAGTTGTTATAGATTCTTAAATACATGATGTTAAAAATCCATGATATAATACATGACTTATCTGTCCCAACCAATGACGTAGTGTATACGTGACAATGTTAAGTAATTTAGAGTATTCGAAATAGTAATCACAGGATCTTGAAGAAAGGCATGCAAGTAAACGCTCATATTGAAGAAAACCTGTTACCCGCTATTTAAGTTCCAATTAAACCGCTGCAACCCTGTATTATGGCCTGTAGGTTAAGCAAACAATTTAAAACAAAGAAACTGATCTACAATAAATATAATTGTATTGCAATAGAAATCATGCACAAAACTTACTTAAATATTTTTAACACAATTTATTGGGATGATTACAAAAATTTGATAAAAAGAATGTTAAAACACCCGACCCAAAGTTATAATTTAGTATAAACTTTGGCTAAACTATCTAGTTTTGATAAACACCGTCGTAATCTGAAATTTATAGAGTTCTGAAATAAAGCCTGTTTTTATATGCATCAACATATTTGGTGATGAATGCGGAATTATATTATTCTACTATTCTGTTATAGATAGAGAATACCCATAACGAAATAAATTAAAGAATATCTTTTCCCTGAGAAGAAACAGAATGCAAAATCTACTGCATGTAAACAATAATTTTTGACCAGCATATTGAATAACATCTATGGAAAATCTAAACATATCACACTATAGTGAATTCAGACAACAACGTTTAAACAAGAAGCAAATGCTATAATATTAAAAATACCATAAATAAAGCTAACTGTTCCAGCCACAGGGTTGATGTTTAGGAAGGTGGTGCGGCAACAGTGAATTCAATCTGACCATGAGCACCTTTCTTCAACTTGTAAGATGAGCTTAATTTGATATTTTCTGCAATAGCTTTACACTTGATTTTTACTTCTCCCTTGTTGCCTTTAACCTGGATTGCAGCAATTGGTGTTCTGAACGCTGATTCTCCACGGAATGGCCAGAAGCTTCTCGGGAAGGCTGTTTCTTTACTGGGATGGTAAGCAAACTATAAAGATTGTAAGAAAGACTCAAACCATGTGATCTGACGGTGAGCAAAAGGACTGGGACTAGCAACAGAATAGAAATCCAGTTTCATACATTTAATCACTTGTCACGCCCTGATTCTTTTGCGAAACTGTTTGAAACTTTGTGTCCGTGTCTTGCACAGGGAAATGAATATCTGGGACAAATTTGAGATAGAAATCTAATACCGTTAATGAGATATCGAGTAATTTTAAACCAGAAATGAATTTCTATTTTACAACTAGTGCCAGGCCTTTTCCGAGTTCCAAGATCACCTGGAAGTAATGTCTGTAGAGTCTGTTGTTATAAGATGCTGTTATATGATATCAGTGCCTCTTTTACCACTACTTATATACTAGGGAGATGCTACGCATCATGGGGCGAGCATGAGCAACGATAGCCAGAAACGATAGCCCAGTGCCTACAACTTGCAAGGATTTTTCTTTGCAGCAAGGAAATATTGGTTCTTGCACGTCCTTGCAAGGAATTTGCAAGGAAATGAAATTTGCAAGGAAAAATACAAAAATTAAAGGAAATTGTAAGGATTTCTGTAACTTATACCAGTTACAAGACAAAAACCACTTAAACCAGTAAAAATGAACTTATAAATAGTATAGACCTAACAAAAGAGGTACGGAAGATCTGAAAATGCCATTTCCGGCGATCTGGAGACTATAGCCCCGTTTACACTGCGCTCAATTTTTGGTACGGCACGGATAAAATTGGTACCCGTACCACTTTTTTTGGTTCCTGGACTACCTATTTAGCTAAGCCCCGTTTACACTACGCTCAATTTTTGGTACCGTACCACTTTTTGGTTCCAAGAACCAAAAAAGTGGTACGGGTACCAATTTTATCCGTGCCGTACCAAAAATTGAGCGTAGTGTAAACGGGGCTTTAATTTCAAAAACACCATTGTCCATATAATAAAGTAAAACACCATGCATTGTCCATATAATAAAGCCTTTTATTATATAGTAGACAGCGAGATACTGAAAAATACGCAGTGACATATTTTCCATATCTTCACTAGTGAGGATATCGATCACGTGACTTTCAGTATTTATACAATTTTTTGCTTTGAAGATATGACTTTAACTTCTCGTGTTAAAAACAATATTTTACTCACTCGCTGCGCTCGTTCGTAAAATATTGTTTTCACCACTCGAAGATAAAAAGTTATATCTTCGCGCCGCCGTGTAATATCCTCCACTTATATTGTTGCATAGTCTTGTATAATGTTGTATAGCGTCGTATAGCCTTATATAGTGTTTTATAGTCTTGTATAACGTTGTATGATGTTGTATAGCCTTATATAGTGTTGTGTATAGTCTTGTATAACGTTGTATAGTTTCATGTTACTTTATATAGTGTTGTATAGTCTTGTATAACATTGTGTAGTGTCGTATTTAAGAAATAGAAAACATTTTCCGTGTTTCTATAGAGTTATAGAAACACGCGTGAATGTTTGGGAGAAACGAGAAATTGCGTGGGAACACGAGCACGAAGTGCGAGTGTTGTATATAGTCAGACAGATAGAGGATCAAAATTATGGATAACTTACTATATCGTGGGACAATTCCATTTTGCCTTCATATTGTGCCCTGAAAGCTAGTAAGTACGTTTCTGTATGTTGGCCGCGTTAAAATTTCTTGTGGGCTTCTGCCGACGTTTTTCTTCGAATTTTGTATTAAACTCTATTACAGTTAAAAATGTGAAATTTCTGATACATTTCTAATACAAATGACTTGCATCAATAGAAAGCTAACAAAAAACTACATATAAGACATTTAAATGGTTAGTGGGGATTTTCAAGCGGTTTTTGAGGTGGACTTCAATGATCTGGTTTTTTGCACTTCACTTGGTGGTATTAATATTTGAATGCTGTTCTTAGGGTTTGTAATCCAAGTGAGTATATATATATATACATTTTAAGACCTGACTAGGAACGACTGCGAAAAATGCAGCACAAGGTCCTCTGGTAGGAATTGAACCTACGGCCCTGCGATTCCGGTGCAGCGCTCTCACCAACTGAGCTACAGAGGCCAGCTGTTGAGCTGTAACCGTAAGTTCATGTATATATATAGGTGTGCGGGTTGTGATAAGGTGGACTTCAATGATCTGGTTTTTTGCACTTCACTTGGTGGTATTAATATTTGAATGCTGTTCTTAGGGTTCAAAAAAACAGATCATTGAAGTCAAAAAGCTGTTCAAAAAACCAGATCATTGAAGTCCACCTTATCACAACCCGCACACCAGATCACCTATAAATACATGAACTTACGGTTACAGCTCAACAGCTGGCCTCTGTAGCTCAGTTGGTTAAAGCGCTGCACCGGAATCGCAGGGCCGTAGGTTCAATTCCTACCAGAGGACCTTGTGCTGCATTTTTCGCAGTCGTTCCTGGTCAGGTCTTAAAATGTATATATATATATACTCACTTGGATTACAAACCCTAAGAACAGCATTCAAATATTTTTGAGTTATTGCCGTTTCAAATGTGAAAAATAAGCCAAAATCTCGCAAAATTCCTCGGTACTAGTCTGAAAACACGCATTTAACAGCTCATAACTCAAGAACTTGAAAAAAACGGTTGACCGTTTAAATTGTCTTATATGTAGTTTTTTTGCAAGCTTTCAAATGATGTAAGTCATTTGTGTTAGAAATGTATTTGACATTTCACATTTTTAAACTGTAATAGAGTTTAATACAAAATACATCAGTGCTAATAATATGAAAGCAAAGCATATGTTTTCTATTTTTATTATACTGTAGATTATACAATGAACCATTTGCGTAATAGACTAAATTTTGATCTAAACAAGTCTAGACAAAAATTTCATCACAGCTTGAAAGAGCATCACAAAATTAGTAATATTCCAAAGTTTCGTTGCGAAATGTTGTAAAATGCGGATAATGCAGTGGCGTAACGGGAGGGTGTCAGGGTGTCCAGTGACGGGGGGCCCCCGAACTTTAGGGGCCCCCGACAAAAATGACCTTAAAAAATTTGATAGCACATTTCTGGGGAATTGAATTAATTGAATAAAAAAACCCCATTCTCTGGAAAAGGCAAAATCCGTCGAGAAATTTCCCGAAGCTGCGACGGATTAAGTACGTCGCGGCTGAGGTAAAGGACGAGATACT